TTGTTTTTTACACTTGTTTTACAATCGAGAGACTTTCTGTAAGTAAGAATTCCATTGTACCAGTACCGGTTACATATGGCAATAAAGTTCAAGTTCAAGTTCAAGCTCTGGTAAGCCGGCTTTCACGCTCAATGGTGGCCATTGGTGTAAGCGTTACACTCTCCCCCGCTTAACTCGCTGTCCTCGGCGAAGGGCTATCCCATCCCATTCTGACACCAATGTAACCCTACAGGGTTCACGTGGACGCCCAGACCGCTGCCGCATCAGGTCGCCCCCCCACCCTTGGGGATCTCTCTTTAGCTCAATTGGCTGGGTCTCTCCTGAGTGATGCCGGAGGCCTGGGTTCGAGTCCCTGCGGTGGGGGTCCGACCTGATGCGGCCGTGGCAAGGGCGCCCACGTGAACCCCGTAGCATTACTATAATGATAATAAACCACATTGTGGTACCCTGCGATGAACAAAACCCAAAGGATAGGTTACGTTGTTCTTTACAGCAGGAAAACCATGCCCTTGGTTGTTAATAAATGGACTCCATACTGACGTCTGCTGTTGTCGTACTGTCTGTTAAAATATCATTTCAATGTCTTTGTTTTACACAGTAGCAATGTTTTTGTCTTGTACCAGGGTAGTGGTACTGGCTCACAACAATGATTTACTGGATTAAGCGGTTACTGAAAACAAATGATGAACAAATGATGAGCGTTGATGAACAAATTAATCCATCAATTTGTAACTGGTTTACCGGGTGGCTAGGGAGCCAGAATCTCAGCAAGCAGAAGCCAATTAACCTACCAGTAGGTTAAACTGTTGGACAAAACTGGAGCACCCAGAGGAAACCTACACAAACATGAGGAGAATGCACAACTTCCACAAAGATAGCACCCCAAATCCAGAACTGAACCTAGGTCCCCAGCACTACAAGGCTGCAATGCTAACCATTGTACTACAATTCTGCCCGTGAACAAATTCAATTAAATTTCCTACCCCAAGTCTGGAGCTGTGGAGCAAACGTGTTCTTAAAATAGAGAAAATCCACAATAGCAGGCTTATAATCACTTACGGTCACTGTAAATAATAATGTACTTTGACTATGCTATGGTTGGTGACCCCTAAATGCCGGAAATTTTTTAGCTTTTGTAGCCAAATATGCCACCTAGCAATTTTAAGGGTGATAGGACCATTTTATTCCTGCTACAAGTTCTTCTTATCTCTCAGAGCCAACAGAGCAGACAAGACAATAGTATTACATAGTTACTCATTTTATTCTCCTTACTGGGATTTTTGTCTTGAGTGTGGGCAGAACTAATTGCTCAGGGCTAATAAATGAACTGGGTATATGCAGAAGGCCAGGTGTAACTTGCTCTGGAGGCCCCCCTCTTGGTCTGTGGCCCAGTTAGAGGTGGCTCACAATCCCACTAGTCACCTCTGTGCTGTGTGGAAATTAATGAGTCTAAGCCAGGAGGACCTTTGATCAATGGGAAACTCCTAGAACAAAGATAAATATACTAACCCTTATGGTAACATGTAAAGTCAACATAGTCCCTGATACCTGTTGCTCCCACAACCATTTTTTCACTCTTTGACACCTGAGTGTCCTGTAAATGTTATCATTTACAGTTTTCAGATTAAAAGTAAATGTAGAAGTCATCACTGAGTAACAATACATGTACATGTACAATAAACACATCCACTTCTCTTCCATGGCTATTACCTGTGGGAAACAAAACGTATTTAGCTGTCAGCCATTTAAAAGGAAAGCAAGTTAATCATTATTAGCTTCCACACCCTTAACGGATAACGCATAAATAAAACACATAAATATATGCACACAAATTAGCTGTGCTGCACTTAGCTTGAGTAGAACACAGGCAAGATCTGGTTTGATCTGAAAAATCAGGGTCGAAGTAGAACGTACCCAAGTATAAACACACAAACCACTCTTCTTCTTTAATCTTATACTAATTTTCATAATTTGAAATTAGTCCCACTCTTGATTTTCCTGAACTGTGATGGGGTCAAAAGGCATTTCCCTTTCTAGTGCTT